CGAGCCGCAGTTGGAAGTTAATTTGGAACAAAAAAGTTCTTGCTGCACTTAAATATCGAAAGTTTGGGGGTTCTTGGCTGTCTGTTAGACTTCTTTTGCAACATGATTTAATCTACTATAAAGCTATCTATGTTTCAGATAGTTAAAAGCACAAGTCAAACTTTAGCTACATTTTAAGATTCTTCAGACTCAAGAAGTCCTTGGATATGCCTGTGGAGTGGTCCATTATTTTGCAGATTTTAGCCAGCACTCTAAGGCTCACTTCAGTTCCCCTTTCGCTTACCGTTAGGGCTGGGTTTGAAATGCACTTCCCTTGGTCATAATCTCAAACTGTGCGAGACGCATTCGGCGGCTATTGACACGCGCTGGGAGCACCCTGGGCGCGGGCCTTCCAATACATTTTTAGAAAAGCCAAGCAAAAGCCCATCATATATGGGTTTAAGCCAAAAAAAAAACACCGAAAATAATTCAGAGGAAAACTGCATTGCGGGCAGCGGGCAGGCATTCCACAGGGGGCTGCCGTGGGGCGAGCCAGGGCATCCAGGGGACACCGCTTTAGCTGGTCAAAACACACACACTGTGCCTCCAAACTGCCCACCACCCCGCCATTCGTTGCATTGGCTGTAATTTGGCATTATAGAAAATGTGGCTGTGGGGCCAGCTTTTGTGCTGATTTTTCCCACCCCTTCCCGGAATGTTCCACTGAATTTTGGGCTGAGCGGGCGACGTGCTGGGGAGGAGAGCGCGCAGGAGAGTGTCAACAGATCGTTGATAACTGTTATTGTTGTTATTTATGAGCATCCCCCCCATTTCTTTTTATCTTATTTTATGCTTCTCCCCTCTCTCTCTCTCTCTCTATCTCTGTTTATCAGTCTTTGTGCCGCTCTCTCGGTCAATTCCTTCACTTTTCATGCACGAAAAACATTCAAGTGCAAGCAATTTTCCATCAATACCATGCACCCCATGCACCATGCAATGGGGAACCCAAATATACTCTTTCAACGATAATAAATAGTTCATTTTTGCATTAAATAAAGTTTACTTGATTTGTTTCATTAATCATGATTATGATTTTTCATTGATATTTTTCATCAATTGTTGAAATGTCAAACAATTTGCCGGTACAACCCTACCCAGCTAGATCGGTGAAAAACGTGTCGTGTGCTGGCTAGCTCTCTGGCTGTGTGCCTGCTTTTCTGTGGCATTTTCCATTGTATTTTTGGGCGCATAAGCATTGCGTATGTACAAAAATGTTTGTCAAATGCAAATCCCCATTGTCCCATTCTACCGCCTCACAAATGTCAATAGAAATGAATTAGAATAATGCTCTGGTCGCCGTGCAGCGTGCAGCGTGCCGTGCCGCACAGCAACCATTTTGTGGGTCAATCAATTTTGGACGCAGCAAAATAATCGGCGGAATGGCGGCGGCTGGAAAAATGTGATTTATCGAATGCGGTCGCTCGCCGGCGGTCAGCGATGATCCATTTCGGGTGGCCGCCTCAAACAAAAAGCCAACACACACAAAAATTCGCATTTAATTAGTCGAAAGCTAAAATGTGGGCATACCCTGGAATGGGCTGGTGTGTTGGTTGGGGAAACCATCACAGAAATAACCACAAAACAAAGGGTACTCTATGGTGCTTATCCTCTCCGTTGGAACAGGCTGGGCTATATCTCCCCAACTCGTACTTTGTGCTTTGTTCCAATCATTTTAAAATAATTCGAATTCGATTGTCATTTTGCATTTGAATAATTGCTGCATCAGCGTGGAGGGACGGATGAGTGGATGAAGCGCCACTGATGGGGCACTAATCATGCACCAAAAATCATGTCCCCCCGCAGGGCTTGGGACGAATCCCTCATGCCACGCTTTCATCCGTTGATGACTCCTTCCCTGGGGACAGTGGACGTTGGCCCACCTGAAAAGTGCACTGGCAAAGGCGCTTATTGGCTTATACAAATGTTCCACAATAAATGCGCTGGCAAATCGAAAACTGAAATGAACGCCAAAAGATGTTTACTGGGCTGATGAATTACCTCCTGTCTAACCGATGGAAAATCCACAAACGATTTGAATTCATATTTGTATTCCCGCAAATTGAAACTTTTCAACTCTGGAAATGTCGAAAGCAATTAGTTTTTTATTGTTTTTATATTTTATTCTTATTGGCGTGTTAATTAGGAATTATCATTATTGCAGGAAATTTATTTTCCCGCAGGTTAATTATACATTCAAAATAATAACACACGCATCCAGATTTTTATGATATTTATTGAGATAAAAAACGAAAGTTTTCACCGTAATGCAAGGCAAAAACAAAAGCAAAACATTATATCATATTACCGCACACTTCTCGGTGAATTACAGTTATGAAACGCACCAGCCATCCATCATGCTCTATATATGGCCCATGTACCCCGCTTGGAGTATTTTATGCGAGTATCTTTCGCAGTCAATTCCCTTGGACAATCTCTTTAAACGTTTTCGCTTTGCCTCTTTTTTTTTGTCGCCTTAACCTTCACTCTTTGCTCTTCCTCCGTCGCTACGCTACGCGGCGCAAAAAGAGCTTAAAAAGTCATTTCGTGTTTCTTTTTGGACGGATTTTACAGTTTTACGGGTTTCTTTATGCCCTTACGCAGAGGTTGAGGGTGTTATAAACTTGGTCAAACTTCTGTATTACCAGAGGAGCCCCGCAGGAGCAACCCGTCCCCATGAATGCCACAGCAACAGGCGGTCTCCATGCATTTTTTGTGTCTGTCATTTCAGCAGTTCATTTAAAGGATATTCTTGAGTCTAATTTTCAGCTTTAATATTATTTAGGGATCACTAGGGGATGACTAGGGATCAATTGATTGATTGAGTTCCTACTTATAAAATTATGTAACTTGGAGATAAAGGAGTTTGTGGGAAAGGTCTACACTTGTCGGATTGGCTGAAATTATCTTGCTCTTTCCTCTCCGTTTGGAAATGCGATTTCCCTGCACTGTTAAATATTTTTCACAAGTTAATGAATAGACTGGACAGCCAGACAGACAGGGAGACAGGGAGACAGAGACAGTCGTCTCTGTGGCATGCAACACAGCAGCAGCAAAAAGTTGAAGGCAATTATAAAACTGTCTTCGGTGTAGTGCTGTTTCGGAATCTGTTGTTATTTGGGATTCAGTTTTGGCCGGCACTTCTTCTGTTTGCCTTGTAACCCGAGAGATGATGCCACAAATATCTTAGCAAAGTGGAGAGACAAGAAAAACACTATTGAAAGAAGGCAACTAAACAAAAAACGAACCCAAAGGAAAGAAGGATAGCCGGCACTAGGAACAGATGAGAGACGAAAGTATAAACAGCTGGACAAACAATTTGCATTTTCTGTCAGATTTCAGACGATTCTCTGCTCTGCTCTGGCCTTTCTTGGCTTTTTCTGGTGTTGGGAAAGGGGGGTTTGGGCATACAGTTTGACATGCACCTGACACCAGAACATGCAGAAGAAAAAGTGGAAATTGCAACATCAGCAAAGTGCTTCTTTCTCTACGTGGCAAGATGCAAATGATTCGCTGCAAAAAATGTCCCATAAGCGAACGGATGCAGAGACCATCCGAAAAGAGGGACACCCAAAGTATGATCAAAATCTGCTGCTAATTGTGTTTGCTCCGTGGAAAATGTCTCACTTCTGGAAACTTCAGTATCTGTATCTGTAGAGTTGAACAATTTGAACAACGATTTCAAGCTTCAAGGAACGCCCCCGCAAAAACCAGAGACCAGAGACCAAAGACCCGAATACCGAATACCGAATAGCCTCCGCAAACGGCACACACAGAGCCTGAACAATCAGCCTGAGGGACCCATTGTGGTCCAATCCACCCGCACCAATAACAACAAATGCCCCACAAATGAGTGAAAATGTGTAGGGTTGGGGTGTGTGTTGGGTTGGATTGGGTTGGGGGGGTTATTCGAATCCCGCGAAATTCGAATCGGAAAATTGTTGATTTTGTATTTAATATTTGATTTTAGTGGGTATTATATACAGACGTACGCCTGTGGCTTTTATTTGGTTGTCCCAGGCCTCCAGGGTATGCAAATATTGCACAAACACAATTGGGGGCATGCAACGTGTACACGTGTGCGTACAGTGCTGTTCAGAGGCGATAAGGCAGAACTTCTCGCCGAAGAAGTACACAGTGAAAGCTACAGACGGGTAGAGATTATACAAAATGCATTCCCACATGTTTCAAATGAGATAATTTCACAACTCGAGTGGATTTTCAGTCCCAAAGAAGTTGGAAAAAAATGGAAAACGGATATTCTAGAGTTCTCTCTTCATGAGAATTCTACTCAGTAGATTCTCTTGCATTTCCTCGAATGGAGCAGTCAAGACTGGTGCCTCTTTGGGAATCAAAACCTTGCAGAAATGATGCCCAAGTTCTCATCTTACAGTTACTTCTTAATGGTTCGCATAACAGCCACGGGCAGTTCCATTTTCACTTCACAGTAAAAAACAATAATGTAGGAAATTCTTAAAAACACAAAAACGTTGAAGATTTTCACACACAGAGAAAGGAAAGACGACAAAATACATTATGATGCGAGAAATTTCACAAATTTTGCAGAACATTTCGGACTCAAAATATTAAATTTTAAGATGCGTTTCGAACTTGGTACATCAGTGCTTTATTGCTTAAAATAAAAGTGAGCAACAGTTTAGATACTTTTTTGGAGGGTGTTCTACACGGCAAAGATCCACTGTAAGCATACTTTGTCACAGGTTTTTATAAGACATTTTTTGATAAGACTCAAAACACACATCGTTATTGCATGCGATCATCGAAATTCGACTTCGAAAGAGTCGAATGAATGCGCCCGCCGCTTGGGCTTCCGAAATTCCCACGGCTGTTTGTTTTGTACTTGTTTTTCTTGAAACCGAAAGAACCTCGAAAAGGAAAAATGAGAACCGAAAAAGGTAGAGGGGGGCAGACGAAGCGGAGTTAATAGGGAGAACAGCACTTACCCGCGTAACATGAGCAGCTGTCCGCGTTGAGAAGCAGCAGCAGCGCTGCCAGCAAAAGCAGCGACGATTCCAGCGGCTGCGACAGCGACATTTTGAGCCACATTCGTGTTCCTGCTTCGTTGACGCACCGACGGCGACGGCGACGCAGCGACGACGCTGAAGATCGCCGCTGGTCTCTCTTCATTTTCGGCTCTCTCTCTCTTTCGGCTGCTTTTCTTCGATTTCGTCGATTCTTTTCGCCTGCTTCTGACTGTTGTTTTTGGTTTCTTTTTGTTTTGTTTGATTAAAGTTCAATTGTTTTTGAATATTCTGGCGCTTTTCTTAATTCATGTTGACTCTGATAGAGAGAGAATGAGAGAGAGAGAACAAACATTAACCAAAAAACATGGAAACATGAAACATGGTAAACGTTTTTTTAGTTTTCTCATTCGCTTTGTGCCAGTCATTCGCCCAGACGCACACACACACACAAACGTAGGCACACCTGCCACAGGTAGCAGCAGCGGGAAAGACAGAGCGCGATCGCTCTGAGTCAGAGCGAGGGAGAGGCAGAGGTAGAGAGAGGGAGGGCACGCTTTGAAACCAAAGACCCTCTGTAGTCAGAGCGAGAGACCAGTGCGCTCGCAAACGGCCGCCAAGCCAAGCCCAAAGTGTATTTAAGCAAGGTGAGGCATGCCGCAAAGCACCCAAACAAAATGTATTTGTATCTAATTTCGATTTGGAGTGAACATACAAAGATAGAGTAAGAGAGAGCTAGAGTGACACAAAGCAAAAATTGCCGGGGATCGGCCACAAGCCTCACCTCAGGCAAGAAACACCTTGGACAAAGCCAGGCCACAAATTTAATTGGAACTGTCTCTCTCTCTCTCGCTATCTCTTTCGACGCTATACACTCACGATCCACACTCCACTCTCTTCTGACCAGACTCTCTCATTCTGCCAATGCTTGCTCGCTCTTTTGCCGTTTGTTTCAGCCCTTTTTCGCTTTTGGGTTTATGTTTTTTGGACTGGTTGCAAGAACCAGTTTTTCTCATATGCAATTCTTTCACACTAACAACGCACACACACGCAAACATACACACAGAAACACTCAAGTTTGAACTCGAATAATTCCAAAAATTTGTTTCTTTTGTTTATAAAATTTGTTTTAGGCGCTCGTTTTGTTTTAATTTTGGCGCATTTCTTTGCTTTTTGTTTTGCTTGTTTTCACTCACATACACACACTTGAAAAAAAAACAGAATGAAACACAAAAAAATAGTAACAAAATTGTTGGGTGAGAGGGAGAATGAGTGATCGCTGCAACAGCGCGCGCGATCGCTGCACAATTCCCAGAAGAAACACAAGAGAAACAGATAGAGCAAGAGGGTGCAATCGGGTGAGGGAAGGGATAGGACTACTTTTATTTACTTCTCTTGCGCCTGCTTTTAATGTTGTTTCTTTTATTAACCATTTGCTTCTCTAGACTTCTTCCTCGTCTGGCTTCTGGCTGGCCTGGTGTTTCGAAACACGCGCCGCAGCAAGCAACCGAAAGCGACGAACGACGAGCGACGACGAAAATGACGGCGACTATGCGACGTAGTCTGCAACAACCGTTATGCGCGCTGGCAGAAAACAAACTGTGCTGCTGCTGAAGAGTAGCGCTTGCTTTGGCTCTGGCGACGGCGACAGCGACGTCGGCAGTGGCAAGCAGCAACAGCAGTGCCAGACGGCGTCGCACAGTGGTTGCCATTGCGCATAACTTGAAGCTGTTGCTATTGTGGCAGGGATGGTCGGGATTCAAAGGGTGAAATGCATTGCTCCTTTTTTACTTAAGGGCATCAAATAATAATTCTCTTAAGAAATCCATATACATACCTATAGTCTCATAGCTGATCATTTAATGCAATAATATGATTATCACTCAAACCAAATCACTTTGGTTCCACTGTCCCATAGCCTAGCCGAATAAGCACTCGTGTTGTGAGCAAGCGAACGGCTTTCCGACTGGCGCCATCTGTCGTCGTTTGAGTGCGCAATGTTTGAGCGGATTCCCCATCGAAGGCGGTTACATTTGAACGGTCTTTGAGTGAATTTTGTGTGCAACAACTCCTTGGTGCACTTCCGAACGGATCGTCGTGCAAAATCTCTGCAGCGGCGGATAATTAGTGGAGGTCTGACTCTTATTATTGTTGTTGTTTGGAAATTGTTAACAATTTTGACGAATAACTGCCCTTTGGGTGCGCTCGAGCATCGCCTGTGCAGAATACATACCCCTAGAAGGCGTTTTGAGTGACTTTCTGCATAGGGTTTTGCACTCCTCCACAGGTTGGTGGAGCCTGTTAATTAGCGGATGCGCACTTTTGAAGATTTTTGTAATTTTGCGCAAAACTTTTGTTCGCTTTCAAAAATTGGCTGCATGCGCATGCAGGAAGGGGCTTTAATGGAAAATGCATGTACGAGTGCGCTAAATAAATAAGTTCTTATTGCCTTTTGGCCAACCCCTCCACTCGCTTTGGACTGTTTGTCCATGGCATTTTCGTATTCGTTTTTTAAGTGTGTTAACAACACATTTTGGCTATTAAACTTGGCGTTTTTCCCCTGCATTCGAATTAAACACACACACAGTCACGAAAATGTATGCAAAATGTAATGCAATTGTAAGTTGTGTGCGTGTCTCCGGCGCCATCTCTTTCACTGTTATTTCCCCTCTCTCTCTCCCTCTAGCCATAGCCATCTCTATCCACTCCTTTCGCGATGAGCAGCAAATGAGTGCAAAAGCAGCAGCGGCAGGAGGCCCGCAAGAGAAAGATGCGAAATAAAATGTGCATGCATTTCAAAATGCACTTAAAAATTGTTGTCGCCGCTCCACTCTCCATGTGTGTGTGTGTGTGTGCGTGTGTGTCCCACGCCAGAGGTCACAGGTCAACTTCGTCGCCTGCCAATTAAAACTTTGCATGCGCTACGGCGACTCCATGGCGCACACACACAGACACCACACACGAACTGAGGAGGGGAATGCGCTGACACCAGAGATGATAGATCGATGTGGTGCACAGCCGCAGCGTGACACTCACGATCGTCCAACGGGCATTGATAGTTTGCAAGCTTAAGTACAAATTGCAGGCACAAAATATCGTCTAGCAAATACAACTGACAGCATCCGTGACTGGTGCAAACAAAGAAGGTCATTAAATGGCTACAGAATACACAGCACAAGTCACCAATCAAAGATAAGTTATATGCATGTAACAGCAGGAAAAAGCTTCATTAGCGTGATGGAATAAATAGTTCATGTTTCGAAGGTAAACTCGCGAAAGCAAATGGCGTACCATCAGCAGAGAGGTAAAGACACAAAGGTACACAGAATAAAGTGAAAGTCCTTTGCAATTCAACTGCTGAATCACATGTTAAGCACAGGATTCCCATATAAATGCTAATCAAAAGGGCTCGAGTACATGTGCAAACGAATGATAAACTGAACTACATTTGAGCACCTGCCATCGAATTGTGCGTATATACCCTAGAAGGTAAGGTAAACAATAAATTAATTCACATCTGCATGATGGAATGTATGAATTTGGTTGCTTTGCCATGTAAGTAATGTAATGGCTTTGTAAACGTGAGTATAAAAGTAACATTAACGCTAACGGTAGTCGCTGTGCACCGCCACAAAGGACTTGACTTCATTAAAGACTTTGATTAATTAAATTACGTTTAATTGGCCTGCCCCTATGTATGTAAATATGTACAACTTACATTCTCTATGTACATTGGAAAGCAACCAAGAACAAGATCGTGGCACGAGCTCATCCCTGACACACACAAACACACACACTGTGGTGGTGTTGTTGCACATAAGAAGCGCATTTTCCAGTAACTTTATTAATGCGATTTCAGTTAATTAACATCACTACAATTACACACACACACACACGACAGACACACGGGCAAGGAGGGAGGTTCTTTTTTTTTTTTTGATAAAATGTGCGGTTGAAAAACAAACAAAAAATCAACACAAAAAAAACACACACAAAGTTTCGGTTGTCGAATGTTCTGATGCCCTAGCAGATCGACCGTGCTTCAATGCGGACTACATATAGCTATAATAAATATAGAAATAAATAGATATTTTTTGAGAGCAAACCGTTCTCTTACCATCGCGTCTACGGCTTCTACTTTGTAGTTCCACTGATATGTTTCAAGGCTTTTTTAGAGGTAGCTCTTCTTTTTGCACACAGTTTGAGTATCTTACTTCTGCTTGCAATGAACTTTGTTATTCTAAAAAGCTGATAAATGCATCTATAAAGTGTATCCGAACATATTGTGGCTTCTGCTTACCGTCTGCGAAATATTAAGCTTGGAAATGCAACAATTTAAATTGTTGTGCGGAATTTTTTACTAAATGTTGACTCTAAAAGCTTTAAGGCATTGCTGATCCAAATCTATGGAGAAACTGGAGCATTAATATAAATTAGGCTTCAGCTAAAAATATTCTAGATATATCTTAATAAATACCATTCCCATTTCTCGCTTCACATTTGTCTTAGCATGAGAATCGTTTGATGAAAATCCATGAACCCGCAGTTGTAGGGCATGCGGAGGGGAAATTATTGTGGGGAAAAGGTGCCTTTGGGTTTTGCTGATTGAAAAGACGCCTTTGACACTGCTTTTGCATCCAATTGCAGGTCCATCATAATTGCACTCGTAAAAACATGCACATCGCACGACGTTTTGCACTCAATTCCATGGCCCAGTGGCCCCGCCTACGCACAGGTCGTGGTCGTAGCCGTAGCCGTAGCTACAGTCGTATTGTTGTGAGCCGGATGTTTGCAATCGTGCAACAAGTTGGCTGAAACGAGAGGCGAGGCGACCGACGACCAACGACCAACGAAGCGTCGGTCAAACTTGTCAGAAAGAGGAAAAGTGTGTGTGTGTGTGTGTGAGTGTTTTTTTGTATTCATTTGTTTATTCCTTCTAATTAATTATCTAGCTTTAATAATACTTTAAATATAATAATAATAATAATACTTCTTACACTAGTGGGTATACTCATAATGAGGGCCGTATTTTCTGGTGGGAGTGGGCGCCCGTCGCGCGCGGTACTGCCGCAAAGCATTGCTTCGCACGCTCGAAGGCTCCTACTCCGTCTCCTGTTTACGACTCCTCTCCAATGCTCTCAGCGTTCGCATAACGCTCGAGGCGAACTCTGCGGCCGCTTCCCATGTCCTTGGCTCGGCCAGCATGATCGGCACCAAGGTCTCGGAGGAGATCCTGGCGCCTACTGCTGTCTCCATGCGGTGTCGCTCGTGGTCGAACCGGTGGCATTCGAAGAGGACGTGCTGTGCATCCTCCACTATGCCGGTGCCGCACTCTGGGCACCAGTCCTCCGTCTCGTGGCCAAAGCGCTTGAGGTAGCTGCGGAAGCAGCCATGACCGCTAAGCGCTTGGGTGAGGTAAAAATCTACCCGGCCGTGCTTCCTCTCCATCCAGGCTTGCAGCTTCGGTATGAGGGTGTAAGTCCAGCGCCCCTTAGTTGACCTGTCCCACTGGTTCTGCCATCTGCTGATGCTGTTCCTCCTCGCTGCAGCCTTCAGCTCTGCTCTTGTCGCATCGCTTTCGCCCTGCACGGCTGTATGGATCTCCGCTCTCTCCCTTATTAGCTCCCTGAGTGGGACTTGCCCCGCAATGACTAGCGCAGCTTCGTCCGACACAGTCCGGAACGAGCACGCTATTCGTAGGGCACACAGCCTGTACGTCGCCTCAACGCCTCGCATGTAGGTCTTTACCTGAGCGGCTTTCGCCCACGCGGGCGCTGCGTACAGGATCTGCGACGTCACAACACTCGTCAGGAGCTTCCGCGTTGCCTGCTTCGGACCTCTGGTGTTGAGGAGCATCCGTGAGAGCGCTCCTGCGGTTCCGCTGGCCTTCCTCTGCACGTACTCCAAGTGCTCCTTGAAGGAGAGGCGAGTGTCGATGAGCACCCCGAGGTACTTGATTGCCCTCTGCGAGCGTATCGTGGTGCCACCGACCTGCACACTTGCAGTCTCTACAGCTTTCCGGCTCGATATGAGCACCGCCTCGGTCTTCTGCGCTGCCAGGTCCAATCCGGCGACCGTAAGCCACGACTCCACGGCTCGGACGGCCGCGTTGGCGAGCTCCTCCACTGCGGCAAGGTGCTTGGCCACCACTACTATGGCGACGTCATCCGCAAACCCCACCATGCTGGTGTTGGCTGGCATCGGGAGTCTCAGGACTCCGTCGTACATGGCGTTCCAGAGCAGGGGTCCCAAAACGGAGCCTTGAGGGACTCCGGCTGAGACTTTGTATGCCCTGGAACCCATACTGGTCTCGTACNTTAGCTCCCTGAGTGGGACTTGCCCCGCAATGACCAGCGCTGCTTCGTCCGACACAGTCCGGAACGAGCACGCTATTCGTAGGGCACACAGCCTGTACGTCGCCTCAACGCCTCGCATGTAGGTCTTTACCTGAGCGGCTTTCGCCCACGCGGGCGCTGCGTACAGGATCTGCGACGTCACAACACTCGTCAGGAGCTTCCGCGTTGCCTGCTTCGGACCTCTGGTGTTGAGGAGCATCCGTGAGAGCGCTCCTGCGGTTCCGCTGGCCTTCCTCTGCACGTACTCCAAGTGCTCCTTGAAGGAGAGGCGAGTGTCGATGAGCACCCCGAGGTACTTGATTGCCCTCTGCGAGCGTATCGTGGTGCCACCGACCTGCACACTTGCAGTCTCTACAGCTTTCCGGCTCGATATGAGCACCGCCTCGGTCTTCTGCGCTGCCAGGTCCAATCCGGCGACCGTAAGCCACGACTCCACGGCTCGGACGGCCGCGTTGGCGAGCTCCTCCGCTGCGGCAAGGTGCTTGGCCACCACTACTATGGCGACGTCATCCGCAAACCCCACCATGCTGGTGTTGGCTGGCATCGGGAGTCTCAGGACTCCGTCGTACATGGCGTTCCAGAGCAGGGGTCCCAAAACGGAGCCTTGAGGGACTCCGGCTGAGACTTTGTATGCCCTGGAACCCATACTGGTCTCGTACGTCAGCACCCTGTCGCTGAAGTAGCTACGCGCTATCCTCTGTAGGTAACCAGGGATGTTGAACCGCTGTAGGGCCTCTAGCGTGCGGCTCCAATCTGCCGAGTTAAAGGCGTTCCTTATGTCAAGTGTCACCACGAGACAGTAGGATTTGGATCCTCCTCTCCATCTGGAGCCAGCGCATGCTTCCTCTGCCGTTTTGACCACCTTGGAGATGGCGTCCAGCGTCGACTTCCCCTTCCTGAACCCGTATTGCTCCGGGGATAGGCCGCCTGCTGCTTCGATGGCTGCGCTCAGCCTCGTGGCGATCACCTTCTCAAAGACCTTCCCTATCGTGTCCAGGAGGCAGATGGGCCTGTACGAGGATGCCTCGCCCGGCGGCTTGCCCGGCTTGGACAGCAAGAGGAGCCGTTGCCTCTTCCACCTCGATGGGAACGTACCCTCGTGTAGGCATCTGTTGAACAGACCCATGACCTCGCTTGGGATCAGCGCTAGTGCCAGCTTCGTCGCTCGGTTGGGAATCGCGTCCGGCCCCGGAGCCTTCTTGGGGTTCAGGTCTCTGCCTGCCCGCAGCACCTCTTCCTCCGTGACCTCGCGGATGTCGTCCAGGCTGTGCTCTGGGCTCGGGGATGTTGTTATGGGCCGCCCTTGCGGGAACAAGGTCCTAACTATCCCCTCCAGCACTACTGGGTCTGTCGGGGCTCTGCTTCCGGCGTTGATGTTCTTTACCACCATCTTGTAGGCGCCTCCCCAGGGGTCCTCCTCTGCGGCGTCGCACAGCTTGAGGAAGCACTCTCTTTTGCTGTCTCTGATGGCGGTCTTCAACTCCTTCCGCGCGACTTTGTATGCCTCGCAGCAAGTCACTAGACGCGGAGTTCCCCTGGATCGTTGGAGCTGTCTTCTCGCTCTGTGGCAGATTTTGCGGAGCTCGGCGATGTCCTCGTTCCACCAGAAGACTGGGGCATGGTGTTTCCCAAACGCACTACGCTGTAGCATGCTCTGGTCGCAAGCCGCTTCCACTGCCTCCCCCAGCTGGGTCGCCCACTCGTTGGCTCCACCGGTCTCTGGTGCCGTGTGGGTACGGAGGGCGCTTGCGAAGGCCTGTGTCATCAGCGTGGCCTGCCGATACGCCTTCCTATTCTGGGTCTGAGTAGGGGCTGCTCTTCCTGGGTTCGGTTCGCCAAACACGCACTCGATGGCCTCGTGGTCGCTAGCGGTGTAGGCGTTGCTGATTTTCCAACAAGCGGTTCTGGCCAACGCTCTGCTGGCGAATGTGAGGTCGATGACTGACCCCATGCCTCCCCTGCTGAACGTTTGTTGGTGTCCTTCATTGAGCAGCACCATGTCCAAGGTGGCGAAGGCCTCCAGCACCGTGCGTCCTCTAGCGNTCCAGGCCTAGAAATTTGGCCTGGAAATTTGTAGCTTTTGCGCCACCTTATCCCCTTTGCGGTCTTGCAGTTACCTGCTACGTGACAGCTGCCGGCGGTGGGGTATCGATATATCGATATATCGGTATGCGCAAGCTCGCTTGCGCTCCCCACCACTAATTAGCGATCAGCTGCTCGCAACAAGCAAAGAAGATTGCGAAAATGGGAAAAATTGTTTTTGCCTTCCCAAAGAAGAGAGCGCGAAAAAACCCGTGTCCTCCTCGCCTCTCCTCCCCTCCTCTGTGTATGGAGCGGCGCCCAGCGACTGGATTCCGCGCCGGGAGACTCACCCTGAACGCGTATGTCGGTCTGGCTCGGTACGTACCCCTTCCTGTCGGGCACCTTCTCACTTTTACCTTTTTCCAGGCAGTTTCACGCACGGAAAATGAATTAGACGCTGGAGGAAAAACAAGCGCGTCCGATCGCTTTCACTCTTCCTTCTCTGTCGTGTGTGTGTGAGTGTGTGTGTATGTGTGTGTGGGTGTTTTGAGTTTGAGTTTGAGATTCGTTTGCTTGTTTTTCCCCGCTTGGCTCCACTTGGACACACGCAAATCAGATTCACAAATCCATAGAAAACTTTTTTGTAGTAAAAGAACAAAAAAAGTTGCCTACCTTTGGGTGCTTTTTTCAGCATCCACAAAATGGCTTAAGAATAGGATTTAATGGCGGCAAGAAAGCAATGTAAAAAGGGTTTGGGCACGATTGCCTGAACAATGAAAATTTGGCCAACACAAAAAGTTGATTTAATTAAACACGAAACACCCTTAAGAGAATGGAAATGGTATTATTTTTGTTTTGTAATTTATGCACAGTCCAACTGGGATTCAAGAACTGAAAAAGGTGCCTGAAAATGACGTGGAATAGATCTGGAATGGGAGAGATACCCATACCAAAATAAAGTACGAAATAATTTAAGCAAATATTTACAACAAAAACAAATGACAGAAGTGCAGATAATTTAATCTTGGAAATTAGTTGATAAACACCCAAATTATCAAGTAAAATACACTCGAAACAGCTGTTTACTGCTAAAATCGAATAAAAAGTGCCTTGCAAATTACAGATAATGACCGAAAGGGTGGGGAAAATGCTTAAATGAATCCATTGAACTACAAATGAAATGGGCTAGTGTCGGCAATGATCAAGATATCGTTGTCCAATGCAGTGGAAAGAGAAGATCAAAAGAGGAATGTCATAAATGAGTTAACTTGCCGTGAAGAAATGAGAGTGATAAAGTTTAAATGAGATGAGTGGAATTGCTGAAATTGAATGGAATAACACGGCATAAAACACACAAAACTGATTTCGAAATCAAATTTAAAGCAAACAAGAAAAAAAGGAACTTACAATTTGAATGCAATTCACAGGAAGAGCAGCAGCAGCAGCAGCAGCAGCACGTTTCATTTGGAATTAATTGATAATGAAATATTTATACGCATATTTCAGATGTACAGTGCTTCACATACATATATGCATTTAATTTCTTGGTGTTTATTTGTTTGCCGTGTTGCTGGCGACTTCATTCAAAATGCACAAAACAAAACGGACCACAAAAAATGGAAACCCAACCTAATTATATCTAATTGAGTTAAATGATTAACAGAGCATTCCAATCCTCCAACATGGCCTCTCCCTCCACCTATTCTCCCTCTTGCCATTTCCACTTAAATTCGCATTCGCATTGCCGTTCGATTTTTTTTGCCTGTGACCTGTGATCCATTCAATTTCCACATGGCCAACTGATTGGTCAGTCGGACATGGCTTAACACTCAAATTGATTTGAAATGTGCTTAAAAAATTATCCTCACCACGGATGGAAAACAACGGACAGCACAGTTGGCTGTCCCCCCCTCTCTCTCTCTGTCTGTCTGTGACTGGAAAAGCTACTCAATATGCAGATGAAATGCATTCGGTTGGGAGGGGAGCACAAAGCCAAAAAAAAAAAGGAAACACAAACAAAAACAAATCAAAACTCTGCACTGGGGCAGCTCCATTCTTTCCCCATCGCTTCTAATCCACCCTACACCAATCCCCAACCAATCCGCTCCTCAGCGGCATTCGGTGTTGACAAGCTCGTCGCAAAATCACACAAAGTATGCAACAAAAAGGAGCGAAAAACCAGCGAGAAAAAGGATGTGCAAAATCAAAAGCTGGAGATTCAACGAATTTGAGACAGACAACGAATTCGGGATGCACTTTTCAATGCCAAATGGATGGAGAAACTGCTCCAAGGGGAAACAATTTTTGCTTGTTAAATAAAGTGATGAAAATGGAGTTGCAGAAAGCAGCGAGTGAGTGAGGAATATGCGGCTTCTTATTCTATTTCCAACTAGAAAATGCAACAATTTCATTACTTAGCAGGAGGAATTGGTTTTGGAGCAATGTTACAGCGAAAACGGAACCTAAAGGACACAATATATAATTTCTGTGGCTTACTGTCGAATGGCTTTGGTGTGCAAAGTAATGAAAATGTGTGATAAAAATGTGAATAATATGGGAAAACTGAGCAAAAGTTAATGAATGGATAATGGTAATGCAGGGAAAAACCTGCTACACTTACGCGTTATTGGAATACATTGAAAAAGACATAAAATATGAGCAAAAATGATGACAAAGGAAATGCAATTGAAATAGCATAGGTAAAGAATATGTGACTAGATTTCCGCTTAAAAACTGAAATGTGCCACTCAGATTAGTTGCAACAAATGCTGCTATAAGTCGCAGACAGTCCGAGTTCTGTTTTTGCGAGGGAAAGTGCAGTTTTTGCTAACCCCGGCTAGCAGCTGTCAAATGTATTTGCGCATGAAAATCCATCCGCCACAGACCAAACCACAGTGCAACCTTGCCTGTTGAGAGGAGAGGGGAGCGAGAGTCTCCTGGCTGGATGCAACAAGTTCCTGCAGCAGTCATGCCATTTCATTCGATTCGATTTGATTCTATACCGATACGACAGCGATTCTTTTTATTGCTGCTGCTGCTGCTGCTGCTGCTGCTGCTGCTGCTGTTTGTTCTTTGGCATTTGCAAACGTTTGCATGGCGAACGGCCAGCTCCCACTCCAAACTGGGCGGTGCTCCGGACTCCCTACTCCCCCCCTACTCTGATTTTGTTGCCAGTCAACACCTAACCATGCCATGGGGCAGCCGTGGCAATGCCATTTTGACAGGAATATAAGCCAGGACTTTGCGTTATTGGCATTCGTCGTGATGTGGACACAGGCATGGAGACAGACTTCAGGACTTGTCGCACACACGTAGATGGACACAGGCAGGGGCAAGGATGTGGCATGGCATATACGGGATTTCAATGCGGACACAAACACTTTTGGCTAATCGAATTTCAGTTTCAGCCAAATGAAGCGTATCAGGCAAATGCAATTGCAAATTGCAAAGGAGCCAACTCAACGAAGACGAACAGCACGAATGGCACTGCAAGGCGGTTCAAGTATATGCCATGTATTTGTGTATATTGTCAGCTTATTTAATCAAACATCATCATTGAGTGAGGGAGCTGCAGCACCACCCACAAACACTCCATTGTGTGTGTGTGTGTGTGTCGGTGGGCGTCAAACTGAGGTGCCAATTGCATGGCTGCCCAATCTGCACCCCACCCAACCGCTGCCCAAAGTTTGTAGCCGTTTTCGGTTGTCATTACCGATGTTGAGCATTGTTAATCTGACATTATATCGATTAAGGGAATTACATTTCGGAGTGTTCCAGGAGTGTGTACAATGGCTCCAGGCGTTGGGCTCCGTCAGGGCGGCTGCAGGGGGACACGTGCCACAATAGTCGCAAATCAACTAAACCTAGCACTTAGCTTGTCACTATTTCAGGGCAGCTGTTGTTAATGTTGCACTTGCTGCCCCCCTCGCTCCTTTCGCTCTTCCTGCTGCTGCCTCCGCTCCGATCCCTTGGGGCTCCATTTTGAAGTTGTGCGAAAATCTGTTTTACTTTTGGTCCAATTAAAAGTTTTGCCAGTGCCATTTTATATCCGTTTTAGATACTGCCAGCGCCAATGAGCAACTTCTTAAATGGCTTCTTAAACGTTGCACCGCGGCCACTGGGCGCTGATTTTGGTCACATTTCGGGACTGGATTTCTGCATTGGTGTGATTTGTTTTTAAATTGTTGGTTCACTTGGGGAACAGCACATCAGCACATAGATCTGCAAATTGGTCCAAACTTCGATAGGGTAAGTAAGTAAGTAATTTCCATTCCATCTTGCGTGTGTGTGTGGAGGGGAGGGTGGAGCAACCGAATGTCTGAACTCTGTTTGTGGTAAGGAATGGTAAGGGCTTGGAGGAGGGAATGGAGGGAGGGCTGTCGGGAAGAGTGTGTGTGGCTAGCAGAACTGTGGACAGGGGCAGGCACTCTGCCTGCATTGCGACAAGTTGGCGCCTCTATCAACTGGTGTCCAATTTGTTATGGACAGCGAAAAGTGGCAATGCGCGACGCCGTAAATCAGGTGTGCCTGTGGCACCCTCTCTTTCCACTCCTTTTTTGCTGTTTCCTGCCGCCCCAGAGGACACCCTTTGATCAGGGGGGCAAGTGTATTTAGCGCACTGTGGCATTGTCTTGGGGGCAAGCGAATTCTCCGAACTGTGGGGCAAGAGCAGCAATCATCGAGTCAGCCTCCAACCCACTGCCTCTAGCTGTTTTAATCAGTCCACAGGCTTTGATGCCATCCTTAACCGCATTGAGGAAATTAAAAATTCCCTTTCTGCTTTCAACCAAAACGAGCCAAGCTGAGCCACTGCACAGTGGTTATTCGGGTTTGTTCGGGTTTGCTCCAAAAAGCAGAAACTTGAACTGTTTCTTGCAGTGAACAATAATCAAAAATTCATTTTTAAGTGCAGTAAACTGAGCATAAAAATGTACAAAAAGTCACCAGCTCTGCTCTAACTTTCTGTAGATTTTCTGCAACTGAAATGTTCTTGCAAAAGCGAAAGCTGTTCTCCTGTTTCGGGCTTTGCCTCAAATGTCAAATGGAATATCTGTCAAAAACTGATGGCTTTTGGCACACTGACCTTTTCGCTGACCTTTGCAACACTGTGCAGCACCGTTGGGCACTGCCCGAGTAACGGTTTGTCAATTGTGTGTTTGTGTGTTTCGCATGCAGCTGAAAACGTTGCATTTCCGCTGCCGTAGCCACTGCCACTGCCACTGGCACTGGCAGGGGCCAATGTCGAGTGGCAACGGGGACGAGAACAAAAGATGGTCAAAACAAAAGGACACTGCACAAAAAATGTGGTACGGGTGTCTGGTTGGGTCTGGGCCAGGCTCTGCGTTGGGGCGTCCAGTCTGCTGAGGGGGTCTACTCCGGGGCGTCTGCTTCGAGGGTCTGTGCCCAGGCATCCGGAAGTTTGCGCTGACATTCATTACCATAATTCACAACAGCTTAAAACATTTATGTGGCTGCCGCCTCCCTGCCGCCTCCCCTGCCCCTCTGCATCCCTCATAATCGCTGGGAAAACTGTCATTGCCTCTCGGCGGCAGTTCGTTGTTTGCTTTGGATTATGTGCAGCAGCATGCAAAATGCCATAATAAGCGAAAACTTCCAAATTTGTTGCAATTATTTTAGCTGCTTGCCCGCCCCTCCGCTGGGTGGCTTGTGGATTGCTGCTGCTCATTTTTTTGGGCTGCACAGGCTCAACATTCCGCTAAAATGTCATCGGAAAAATATACTTAAAGAGGCACACACCCCCCCAAGTGCTGGCTGATGAATGCTTTAAGGTGAGACTTTCCGCTCTCTGCTCAAAAATCAGTTGTTGCATCTGCTGGCAGTGGTAAAAACAACTCAACTCAGATGCAAAATGTGTAAAAAGACCTGCGCAGAGGATGTCCATTGCATCCACGGCTGACACAAACTTCCCCTTCAAACTTGATGTGTTGAGCACTCAGTTTTCCATTGAACTTGAATTTTGAACGTTCGAAAAGCAGTCAGGGCAGGCAGGCAGTGCAGGCTCAAACTGTGATTCGAAGCCTCACATGAATCACAGTCATCACAGGACGCTGGTGTCGGTGTCTCGTTGCTCACAATTACACACAATTTATACTGATCGGACATCGAACATCGGTCATCGGACGCGTACAAAGTAATCAGTTTGTTTGTTAAAATTGTATTAGTTCGCATAAGGACATGAATCCCGACAAGATGCCAGTGCCAGACGACAAGCAGGACGAGTCCAATGAGCAGCAGCAGCAGCAGGGCTCCACGGCTGCAGAAGGTAAGCCAAGTTTGACCCCAGTGAACCAAACAAAAAACTCTGTTTGCCACTCCGCAGTGAATACTCCTCCACCGATGGAGGACCTGGCAGTGCTGGCACCCATCGAGCGGAATTACTTTATGCGCATCAATCGCCAGGAGCAGGCCACAAGTGTCAGTGTCAGGCAGCCAGAGAATTGGCGGGCAAGGCCGCAAGAGTCCGCAAAGAAGAGCGGCAAGGCACGTGGAAGTGCAGTCCAAGCTGGAGCTGCTGCAGCGACATCTTCCGCTCCTTCGACATCGACAGCTGCTGCCAGCACATCTGTGGCTGCTTCAGCATCTGCTGAGTCCATAACTGATGCAGCTGCCCCTTCAAATGGCTTTGCTGCTGATGCTCTGCTCGATGGCAATGTCTCGTCGTCGGATGATGATGACTTCTCTGACTTTTGCGAATACGACACCATGTTTCAGGAGCAGCCGAACTATGATTTAGTTCGCACCTGGTCCTCGTATGTAAAGCGTCGTTATGCGGCCGCCGGCGGACAGCGTGCACCACTGGAGATGGGGCGACCTGCAGCCACCTCGGACATGCCACCAATCGAAAACTGGCGCGCTCGCGCGGCAACAGCTTCAACTGAAGCGGCCTCAACCAGCAGCTGGCGCCACAATTTAGATTTCACCAGGCAACGCCGAAGCTCAAGGTCGGGCAACCACAATCCAGAAGCCAGTGGCAGCCAGGAGGAACTGCAACCCGAGAGACAGCCGGCACGGCGACCCACCCACAACACACGCGGCCACCATGGCCGTCAGCGCAACCAGTGGACTAATTCTGCTTACCACAATCCACCGACCCTCAACGGTGCAGTCCGCCCCAACGCCAACGCCAACGCCAACGCCAACGCCGAGCATCCGGGCATCACAAATGGCTTCATTGGCGCACCCGGAGTCCGTGACTATCAGCAGGAGAGTTTCCGGGGCTTCAGCATGATCGGTGGATTCCAACGGACTCGCAGCTTTGGCCCGTCCAACAATCGCCGAGCGCCGCCCAGTGCTGACGCCAACCCAGGACGACGCGTCTCCATGTAATTCGGACGCGTCGCCAATTCAAATTTTAATAATTATATTTTAATAGTTGTCAAATTGAAGTTTACGAAATTATATTCTGCACTTTACTGACGGTCCTCGCTTCTTCCACTCCATTTCAGCTCTGAGATTTTTCAATGTAAAATTCATGTTTTTTCGCTAACAAATCAGCCTGGAATTAGTGACTGGGCTGTCATGCTGTCATGTGTGTGTGCTGCCTGAGCCCAAAATCTATTTCGGTTCAGTAAATCATTGCTCGGCAAACCAAACACATCGTTTCGAATTTTCCATTTGTTTTTTCCGTGCATGGAAATTATTTTGTTCGGTTTCAAAGCAGGTGCCCTGGCCACGCTCCCAACAGAAAGTCCAACGCGATGAATCAGCCAGTGGGCAACAGTATTAATAAGCGACTGTACAATCGTGTGGGTCCGAGCACAGAAACTGGCAACAACGAACTCCCAATGGCTTTGCCCAAGTCCCTGGCCAATTGCCCTGAGATCGCTAAGCTTAGGATTAAGCCGGAACCAATTCCCGAAGGACACGGCGCTGATTCACACGACACTTACACTCGCGGTCAGATCTTGACCATTGGTCTGCTACTGGCCGATAAATTGCCCGACCCAAAGACAGAAAACCAGGTCTGGCCATCGTCCAAGGAGGTGAAGATGCGCCTTCGCTCTGTTGGCATCTACAAGAACCGTCTGGTGGCTCCTTCAACAGTTTTTGCTGCCAAATGCGCTGGAGATCCGGGCGCCCATGGTTGCTGCAACTGGCGGCTGCGAGGCGATGCTCGTTTCCCCAATTAAAAGGGGAAACGACAAACAACAGATATTTAATATTGCAATTTCCCTGAAAAATTTCCTTGTGTGATAATATTAACAATTTTACCTTTTGATAATCAATGTTTAAGTTTGGGTGCTAATCGAAAAGAGAACCAAAGGAAAGCAATTGTTGAGGGCAACAGCGCTGTTAACAGCAATGGGTAACAGCGTGCTACTGCTTTCCGCTAACAGCCGATGGCCGATCTCTGGTAACAGCCTGTGGCCGCGCTAAGCTAACAGCCCGTGGCCGCTTTACGCTAACAGTCGGTGGCCGCGCTAAGCTAACAGCCCGTGGCCGCTCTCCGCCAACAGTCGGTGGCCGCTACAGTCTACAGCTCAATGTTAGTATCCTCTGACCGCGTTCTGTTAACTCTCTTTCATTTGCACTGCTTGCTTACACGATCCACTCTTGCTTGCAATGCCATTAAGACTGAGTGCTTGAGTGGATCGTGAAGAGGTACACAAAATATAAACCACTAATGCATGGGTTAAATATACTTTATTTGGCAAACTCTGTTTATTTATTGGTGCGGATTTGGCTGACTTTGTCAGCTAGCTCCTTGCCATGGTATCAAGTGTTAGATTTTATGCCTTGTCTTAAGGTTCCATCATAATTCCTTTGGCCACGGCCGCGGCGGTCATCTCTAGCAGTCCCTTGATGTCCAGAAAGTAGGCCATCATGGCCAGCTCCAAGAGTGTCGTCCCGTCCATATTGAGAAATTCGGCATCCCAGGCAGATAATTCCTGCTCCGCCTTGTGGTGCTGGGCCCAGGTCAGTATTTTGCTCAAAATGGGAGACCGCACAAAGGGCAACGAAATTACAGCTGTCAGCTGCTCCTGCTCCTGCTCCGGCATGTCGCCATTCGCCTGCAGATACTCCTTGATGTAGCCCGAAGTCGTGGCAGTGAGGAGATCCGTGTCGAAGGTTTCCCCCTCATGGGACACCAAGCGAATAGTTCGCTCCGCTTCCACAAGCGGCTTTGTCATTGCTAATTATGAAAATAAAAGTGGAATTCAGTTAATTCAATTCCAACTGTGACGGAAATGTCATTATTAATTAAAAAGTCAATGCTACCTTGGCCCAAGGGTCTCATTTGGAATGGCCATCGGGTGGCCAACTGCTTCGAGGCCGAATAATCAGCTGAAGTGTTCATCAGTTCGCAGGCAGACCACAATTATAGATGGGGAAGTTTCAGCTCACAGCGATGGCTCTTTTGCTGTCCTTAAAGACAGTCAAATTAACCATTTCATTCACATGCCTCGGAGCAGGAGTGGTCAATGAAATGAAAACAGTTTTTTTATGGGAGGAGAAACTGAAAGAAATAAATCTGAGCAGCTTCATTCTCAAATTTATTTTGTATATTTCAGATATTGATGCAGCAACGCGGGCAATAAATATGGATAGAAATCCAATAAGGAAATGTTCGTTGAAAAGCTGGAAGAGTCCATGTATATCTATCTGGCCATACAGATGCATTTCGAGCAGAGCAAACCGCAGCAGATTGAATGGTTTGGCTGGGGATGAAGCTGACAACGAGACCAGGCGCCGGGGTGGAGCAGAGCATCAAACAACCAAAACAGGTGCCATGGCATAGCAGAGTGAGCGGCGGTAAGCCGAATGTAATCCCAAATACAGTTACCAAACACTACGCAGAGTGGTCTTGGTTACACATGAAATGTAAGAGACCGACTGACGTCGCTTAATTAAGAGTTTTGGTCATGTTAAGATCTGGTAATGGTAACTAAACCAATGACAAATGCAGTCTCCATTTGTGCCTGAAATGTGTCTTCTGTGTGTCCGACTCTGTGTCTGTTTTTATGGCCGCAAATTTATGAGCAGCTAAGCTACTAAGCTAATTTGTTGGAATTTAAATACACTTGCAGCTGCCGGCGGCAGTGACAGCCTGATGCCCGACATGTTGTGACACTTTTCAAAATGAGATTTTCCCCATTCCCCCACTGCACTGGATGAGTGGCCGAGTGGCCGAGTGGCTGAGTGGCTGAGTGGCTGAGTGGCTGTGTGGGTGTGGGTGTGGGTGTGGGTGTTGAGCTGTTGATGCCACACGTTCTGCGTTCTCCCTCGTTGATGTTGGCATTACCTCGCATACGCACAGCGAAATTCCGTATGCAAATGCAGCTGTGGATGTCCGGTCCAGTTCGGTCTCCGACCGACCACCTGCAGAGCTTATCTCTCCGGTACGGGTCCAGTCCTTAACAATGAGGCCGCTGCATCCACGCCCTCTGGCCTGGGATGGCCCAAAAGATGGCTGAAAAGTCACGAGCACGAGACACTAGAGTGGCTCCTGCTGGAGCTGTGGGTTCACGACTCACGCAGCTCACGACTCAAGCTTTCCCCTGGGTTGTGGGGCTCATTTCAGGCTCACCGAATCTCCACCAATGCTTCACGTTTAATGAGAAAGCACAGCTGTTGGAGCATGTGAGACACCTGCTGGGCCACGACGCACTCTAAACACTCTTTTTCTGCTCCACAAACATGCATTCCCGAGCATTAGGGAATGCTGCTTTCAAGAGCATAATGAAAGTGTTCTGTTCCGCAACTCGCACAAGGACAACGGATGCTGTGTGGCCAGAGACAAGAGCTGGGGCTGCAGCACGGCTGTTGATATGCCCCTGGGCCCAACTGAGGCTGAGGCTTGGGTCTGAGAGATGGTCATGTCTCCGGCTCTGAGGGCTGGAACTCTGGCCAACTCTGGCAAGGGGAGAGACAAAAAGAGAGAGGGAAGTCCAACAATTGTAACACGTATTCATTTCAAGCGTTTTTATGCGCTGCTTGGCTTTGTTTTTACCATGTCCTAGCCACTGTCCACAAGCATTGGGCCTGACACAGTTTTTGTTGCCACACAGTGGCATGTCCTGCACTCGTTCAGGGAGGGAGGGTGCGCTCTGTGTCTTTTTGTTACTTTAGTGGACTGCTCAACTGCCTGACTGGATGACTGGGTGACTGGATGACTGGATAACTGCCTGGCTGGACGTCGCGCCGTTGTGTGGCATGCCATGGCGTGGCATGGCGTGCCTGTGCGCTGACAGTAAATGCTGAAAATTGAGTGCAACTTGTCGTAACTTTATTTTCAAATATATGCGGAAAGGACTAACCAGACAATGCACAACACACACACACACAGAGCACTGCACGACATGGCCACACTCACTTTCACAGCATGGCCACACTCAATGAGAAATGTGTGGCGGCGCGCATTTAACATGCGGAATCCACCCGACAAGCGTTTCCAATTCGAAGTCTGACCAGAGTTAAGGGACATTCAAAGTAGCTTCAATTTGGCAGCTAAAAGGTAACAAATTCAATTAGTTTGAGGACATCTTTTGGTAGAGATCCTCACGGAGATCCGTGAACAGGATCCACGCAATCTTGGACAGCAGCTGTTCAGTGCGCGGAAACATTTGCCACCTGCACCATTCGCTGGTTCTTGTGTGTGTGTCTGCATCCATGTTGGGTACGTGTGATTGTGTGTGTGCTAAGTGTTTTGCAACAAAGTTTTTGAGGGGTGGACGGGACGGGACGGCACTGTACCTCTTTTGGCATATCCTTCCCGTTACCGTTGCGGCTCCGTTGCACCCATCAGATGGTCGGTCTGCGTCTGGCTCCAGGACCGGGGGCTTTATTACCATCTCCATCTCCGTTCTGGGTCTCGTCTGCATAAGCTATGCGGTTGCCTGTCGCCTATCAGGCCACGGACCTCCATCTCCCGGAGTCGTTCTCGTTCTGCGGTAAATTTAACGAACATGCAAGTCCTAGCGTGGTCCTGCTACGGCCACCACTTCCTCAACACTCAACAGATCCTGCTCCGTGCTCCTCCAGTGTACCCTCCGTGTGCCACCGTTTACAACGCTCATAAGTTAGCTGTGAAATTGTTTAAATTTGAGGCTTGGCTTGGCAGACACTCAGACGATCAACGGTGACTTTCGTTCTTTACCGGCCAGCCACGCCCCCAGGTCAGCTGCCGCCCCCAAGCAGCAGTCCCGGCTGCGGCACTCGACAAATCAATTGGCCATCAATGGCCAATTTTGTCCCACTCTGCTGCCTTTCAAGAAATTTCCACGTAACCGTAACCGTTACCGTAACCGTAACCGTTACCGCCAGCGAAACTGCTTTGCCCTGCTTGCTGCTTACTGCTTGCTGCCTGCTGCTTGCTGCGCTTCCGTATCGACAAACCGTGCCGGGTCAGAGCTGCCACACCCACTATATCCGCCCGTTGTTCACTCTTCAATTAACACACTGAACAACAAATATGTACAGAAAGGAGAGCTAACTTCCAGGAACCTTTGAACCTTCACGCAGGCATGAGCTGCCACAACTTTGTGGCCATAGACTGTGTTGCAGTAACCGATTCGATCTGCCAAAGGATCTTGGCAATTGGACTGCATTTCAATCAAGTGGGAAGTACTCTGCTGGAAGCCAACGAGTTGCTGCCAACAGAGCTGCAAGTGTCGGTAAACGCTTGGCAGCCAAAGAGAGCGATGGAAGCGGCTGTAGAGCAGGACCCACATGGCCAAAGTTATGTCGAAGGTGTGTCGGAGAGCGAGCGGACTCCTTTGAGTTTGCATATCTTTGCCTGGCCAATTTGAATATTGTAACGAGAAGAGAAGAGCAAAGAAACCGCTAAAAATGACTACATAAAACCCAAAAACTAAAAAGCACAAACGGTCTCAACGAAATATTGATGCACTGCCAAGGTTCAAGTGAACTTAAGTCGAAAATCTGAAATTCGGAGGTCGAGAATGTGCGCAAATACAGCAAATAGCTGCGTTAGATCTTCACTGAACTGGCCATAAATATTTCCAACAAATTGTGACATAAATATAGCTTGAAATTCTACCAAAGTGCTTCGACGAAGCACACTCCAAATCCTCATGCCACCGCTGCGAGTCGAACCCTAGAGAGATCTCTCTGCCGTTTCAATAATGCCAAAAGCTGGCCAAAGAATTCGTTGATAAAGTTCACAGAAAATGCCAGCGTCCTTGGGTAATTGCTGGGAACAAAAAAGGGAGCGAATACCCTTTTGCCAGTGCACACACAATAGCCCCAAACCCTACACGCTCGCATACAAAGTGGAAGTCCATTGTGTTTTGCGGACGAACCCCCACAATTCTATGCTCGACTAGAGTTTATGGGTGAGTTTGGGCATGTTGCATGCCACACAACACACACAGCTACACCCACGCCTACACCTGCAACTACATACATCCGATCTATCGCATCCGTGCAGCCGCCTTCTTGGCCTTTGATGGAAATGGAGCAAGCTCAAAATTGTAATAGGAATTTGTTCGTGCTGCACCCGGGCACATCCCTGGCCTAACCGTGGGGCCTGCAAAGAGGCCTAAAGAGAGGCAAGAATTTTCTACCACTTGCCTACGCTTTCTGTATGGCTCTATGGCTGCTCATATTCTCAACTCTCTCATTTTTCGGCTTAATTTGTCAAAGAATATTTGTGTAAAGTTTCCAATAACCAAGCTGTGACCTTCCCACATGCACCGTGACGGGGACAAAGGGGATTTTGTTCCAGGAACTTGCAGCTTAATTTTTTCTGTTGTCTTCGGCTTTGAAATCAATTAACACTGCACACGCACAACAGTATCACATTTATTGAGCCACAAAAACAATTATGAAATATTTCTATGCCAGCAAGAGTTTGCCGCAAGGCACAAACTTAAAATTGCCGAATGAATAACTCCAAAGTGACAAAGCAGCAACTTTACTTTGCCACTTTGTGTATTCAATTATTCAAGCCTCGATCTAAGGTTTTGTAGGCTCTTATGATCGGATTATAGTTCCCTATTAATTCCCTATTTTAGTTCCCCATATTTATGCGTAATTTTGTACACTGTAACTCGATGATTGGTCCAACACTTCTTTTGTTCAGCACATCCTGGGGGGTCGCCGCAACCAACTAAAAATTTGAACACCTACTTATGAGCAAACGAGTTTTATTATGTATATTTATGGCATGCTCCT